ACGAAATGAAGGTCCCTTTATCAATGTTATCTCAGGAGATTCATCGAAACCAAGTTTCTTTTCGTATCTACAGCATATGATAGACATTAGCAAAGTTGGAACCCATTGATGCAAAGATCTCAAGTTAACACTAAGTCAAGAAGACTTAACTTGACACCTGTGCAACAATGGGTCACAGCTGTGATGATGTTCGTCATAAGAATTAAGAAAGCTCAACCAGTTCTCATGCAAAACGAGCTAGAATGTCTCGTAAACTGTGTCAACCTGTAGGTAGTATTAGAGCAAACATCTGCACAACACCAAGAAGCGAGACCAACCAACGAAGTTCTTCATCATGCCCTTTCATACGAACTGGAAGTTTCTAAAACAAGATGTTGTCCTGTCGAGGCAAAAAATCAAGCCGAATCTGAATGACATTACGTTTTTAGAAGGTGACTCAAATTAATAGCTCGAAACCTCATCATTCTCTTCCTCCAAGACTTCGTGGTTAGCTCGCTCGGAAAGATATCCTCATCCCAGTTGGAGTAGCTGGCAGATTCGACCTCGCCTGCATCTGAGTTACAGGACAGATGTGAATTTCAAGGATGACCAAACATTTTTCCATATCACATTCTTTAATAAGAATAACCATCAAAGTTATGAGATATATTCACCCTATTTCGTTTAAGGTGATGAAGGACTGGTAGTAGAATTTTCCCACAATCATATGAGTTGAGCTGACATTTCCATTCAATTTCACATTGCCTTGCTTTCCAAAAAGTTGTTCTCATCCCGGCTGAAGTGGACGGCAGTTTTGACCTCGCATCAGTTTTATCAACAACCTCAGCGGGAGTCGAACCGCGACAGTGCAGGATGGAAGCTTGACATGCTAACCACTCAGGTTTCGAAACCCTACTCTTATACGAATATAAGTAACGTAGTCGATTGCTATAGCAAATATAAGTTTGCTTCATCGACACCACCAAAGAATATGATATAGCAAAGAGGCCTGAACTTCCTTGAAATTCACTTATGCCCTGTGACTCAAG